CCTTTTCCAGCAAATTTCTTAGAGAGTTGACTATGCTCACACTCCCAATTCCCCACCTTTTATTCTTTCTCCTATAATTGGATCAAAACACCTTGGAATTACCAAGCTTATCTCTAGCTCTCCACCAAACCCACCCAGGTTCAAGTTACTGATGAGTGGTGCTCAGTGTCCGTTCTCTCCTGATTGATGTATTGGCAGTGCATCGCACAGCTAGCTGGCCACTGCTCCTCTTCCTTAGACACTCTCTTCACTCATCTCAGGGACCCCCTGGCTCCTGGCTCCCCTCCTTCACTGGCTCTCTTTCCCAGCTGCTTCTGCTGGCTCCTCCTCTGCTCCTGACTTCTTACTGGGGAGCAGTTCAAAGCTCAGCTCTGGTCTGTTGTTCATATACTTGCTTGGTGGTGTCTCATTCAGTCACATGGCTTCAAACCCCATCTATGTGTTTGTGTTTCTCTCTCCAACCCAGTCCTCTCTCCTAATCTCTAGACTTAAATGTCTAACTGCCTGCTTGACTTCTAAACTTGAGTCTCCTACAGGTATCTCAGGCTAAGCCCAAAGTAAACTCTCAATTTTCCTGCTAAACAAATATACTTCCTGTGGTCTTTCTCGCCTCAGTGAATAGCTAATCCATCCTTCCAGCTGCTTGGAATTACCTTGATGACTCTAATTCTCTTACACCTTTCTTCCATTCTATCAGGGAAAAACTATAGGCTCTATCTTTAACATGCACCAGGAATTCAATCACTTCTCATCACCGATCCCATCCTGGGCCACGCCACCATCTCTCACCGGAATAATTGTATAATTTGCATCTAGCTGGTCTCCCTGTTTCGTCCTTGCATTCTTCTATCCATTCTCAACATGGGAGTCAGAGGGATCCTGTTGGAACCTGAGTCAGACTCTGACATATCTCTGTCCAAAACCTGTCAATAGCACTGCCTCACTCCAAGGAAAAGCCACAGTCATCACCATGATCACAAGGCTCCACCGATTTACCACCCATCGATTTACTTCTCTGACCTGTCTCCCCTTCTCTCCCCTCACAGACTCTGTTCCTGCCACACTGGCCTCCTGCTGCTCTTCCATCATGGAAACTCTATCCTCTGCCGCCAAAACTCTCTGCCCAGGAGTAGATTTAATACACACTTTCATCTCCTTTATTCAGCTGTCACTAACCTCTGCCCTCCCCCATCACCCCTGCTTGCCCTCCCTCACCACCATCCAACCTACAATGGGCTTCCTTACCTCGTTTATCTGTCTCCAGGAGGCTAGAGACCTTGTCTTTCCTGCTCACTGCTGTCTCTCCGACCCCTAGCACACATTCTTGAGTGAATGACTGACTGGCTGAGTGAAGGAATGAATCAATGAATTCGCCGCCAGGCAGGCCACCGGCAGTACCAGGCTCCCTGACCCACTGGCTCACAGGCCGGCCCGCTTTCTCTGTGGGGATGCCCAGGCTCTGCTTGCAGCGGGCACGCTGCCCATTCAGCTCTGTCGGAGTGGCCGCTCTCTGCCAGAACAAACACGCTTGGAAGGGCTCTGAGCTCCGTTATTAACAGTGAAAGAAGGACTGATCCTCTAAGCCGCCTCCAGTGGAGCCCAGGCTAATAACAGCTTTGCTAGGAAACCTCCGAGGCTGGCAGCCCACCTGGGAGCGCCCCGGCGTGCTCCGACCTGTCTGCCATCCCCAACCCCTGGGCTTCCTGTGTTTCCCCTAGATTTCTGGTAGAAAAGAGATAAAGCACCTTTGATGCCGGTTCCTGTTTTAATTCTCGCAAGTTCTTCACGCAGCCTGAGAAGTCTGACAAACACTGTGGAATGGGGAGGGGGTGTGAAGGAGGGGCAGGTCTGGCTTCTGTGTGGGATTCTGTACAGCACCCTCATTGCAAGCAAGCGGCTGGGGGCAGGGAGGGAGGGAGAGGACAGACAGATAGACAGACAGACAGACAGACAGACAGACAGACAGGAAGGAAAGAGAAGTGAGGAAAGGCTGAGCAGGCACGCACACTGGGTGCAGGTAGACCTGTGGACAGCCCGTGTGGGGGGATGAAGCACAGCCTTGGGCTCAGAACATCAGCCTTCACTTCTCAGCTCTGATCCCTGACTGGCTGTGTCATGAGCTCAGCAGATTCTTTGACCTGCAGTTTTCATCTTTGTTTTATTTGTTGTTTATTTTTATATAATAATATACACACACATCCAGAAAAGACATTATAAGACGGAGTCCTGTGTAACTGTGACCACCATCCTTCCACGGCGTCATTTCTTCGCCTTTCTTTATGTTTTTGCTGCCTAATTATCTATCCATGAATAACAGTTTACTGCTGCCCTGTTTCCAACCTTACATAAACGAAATCCAAAGCACATTGTTAGGCTTCCCAAAGCCCACTGGGTTTTTAGAACTCAGGCATGTTGGGTAGAGCTGTATAATCCTTCTCACTTTTGTGAGTTTCTTTCTCAGAATGAATCCTATTTATTTATCCACCATATTATTGTTACACACTTGGCTGGTGTCGGGTCATCATCAATAAAGCTGCTGTGACAGATACAGCCTCCTGGCACACCTGTGCACATATTTCAGTTTGGAACATGCCTAACTAAAACTGTGATTGGCAAACTGTGGCTTGAGAGCCACAGGCGGCTCTTTGGCCCCTTGAGTGTGGCTCTTCCACAAAATACCACGGCCTGGGCGAGTCTATTTTGAAGAAGTGGCGTTAAAAGAAGTTTAAGTTTAAACAATGTGGCTCTCAGAAGAAATCTCAATTGTACTGTTGGTATCTGGCTCTGTTGACTAATGAGTTTGCCGATCACTGCACTAAAACAGGCGTCCGCAGCACCAACTTCTGCCGGTACCGCCAACACTTCCCTAGCGACACCGGCGGTGTCTGTGGCCTGCTGCCCTCAGCACCGGTGGAACAGACGGTCCTTTAGCCGCGCAGTGGGTGAGAAGGGTGGCACTGTGTTTTGTGGGCACTTCCCGGTTATTGCCAAGGCCGGGCACCTGCCTGTGCTCACCGCTCAGGGGGCTCCTCTGCGGCGGAGCCGCGTGCCAGGGTCTCGCCGCTGTCTGTCTGTCTGTCTCGGCCTCACTGGTTTGTCGGAGCCTGAAGAATGAGTCATCTGATGGTTGTTCAGGTAGCAAATACCTTCTTTCAACCTATAGCTGCTTCCACCTTTTCAATCTGCCTTTTACAGCAACGGTGCTCTTCATCTTATACAGTACAATTTGTCAATCTTTTCCTACAAGAGTAATGCTTTCTGTAATTCATTTCACAAATCTTTCTCTACCCCAAGACCACCGCTATGTTCTCCTATTTCCGGTGTTCTAAGGTTCCACTTATCACAAAGCAAACTCCAGCCCCAGGGAAGCCTAGAATGTTCTGTCGGTTCACTATCAACCACCTGCACCAAAGGGCGCCGTGGAGGCTGCCAAAACCCTCAGCAGGTGTGAGTCCTCCGGCCATTAAATTGGAGCTGTGGGTCATGCTCGCTGTGACCAACAGGGGCAGGAGGCTACAGCTAACAGCGTGAGGCCACGTATGAAGCCAGGAGGAAAACTAACTTTCAACGTTATAGCCGCTCCACTGCACAAGAGCTCTGTGTTCTCTGAAAGTGGTCAGGCGTTCTGTAGCCAGGAGTGGAGAGGAGGGCAGGGAGGTGAAGCGGGAGGGGGCCCTGCCCACGAGGGGTGTAGGACCGGGAGATGTGCTGCCAGCCCCCAAAGGTGACCTCTGGCCTCTGTCTGGACGGGGCACCAATTAAACACCGAGTGGGAGAGCAGGGACTCCCGGGACTCCTGTGCCACAGCCCGGCGGCCGAAGGCCATGGTCTACACTCAGCAGGGACCGCTGGCCCAGCCCAGCCAGCGAGGCGTGCCCCCAAAGCTCTTTTCGTAATGATTCATGGGGAGACCAACCCCTAGGCACAGCAACTGCCCAGCGTGGCGCCACCTTTGCTCTCTCCTGTGGCCACGTCCCGCCTGCAGAGCAGCTGTTCAGTCTCCACTCCCACGCCAGCCCACTGTCACAGACAGCCGTGTCCACTCTTGTCTGTGGTCCCACCCCCACAGGCGGCCACGGGGCTCCTCTATACATTAAACCAGAGCCTCCCCGATGCCCCATCGATTTAGAACAAGATCTGAAATCCCATGCTCCCAGGCCCTGGTGCCCTCTCTAGCCTCAGAGCTCCACTCTGGGCCCTCGCTCCTCTAAGGCACCTGCCTTCTGAGATCCCCTGTGTTCCCACCACCTGATCCCACTGCCCGATCCCACCACCCAATCCACTGCCCGATCCACCGCCCGATCCACCACTGGGCCCACGCACTCGCTAGTCCCCCTGTTGCGTGCGCTTCCCTGCGTTCTCCTGGTGACCGCACTGAGCTGGCTCCGGTCCTGCTGTCCTCCCTCTGACTGTAGTCCTCACCTCCTCTCCCTTGGGACACAGGAACTGTGGACTGGGGCTTGTTTCCCTGCCCCCAGGAAAGCACAGGGAGGGGCGGGGTCACCGGCTGCTTTGTTCACCACCCACCAAACAGCAGTGCCTAGAACAAACCTCACCACCTCCTGGCGCCCACACAGGTGTGCGTACAGGAGGTCGTGAGTGGGTGGAGCAGCCGCGTCCTGTCCAGACAGGCCTCTGTGTCCGCACAGGCACCACAGGGGAGGGACACTACGCGGGGCATCTGCTCCGACTCAGCGCTCACTCTGCCAGGCACAGACCGCAGGCACGAAGCTCAGCAGGGTCTGGTGCAGAGGCCAGCTTGCAAAGCCCTTGGTGTGCCGTGCCGGAGGAGGCACGTCTGGAAAGCGGCCCTGGTTTTCCTGCCTGTGCACCTGGGCCAGCTCTCAGGGCCGGCCGCGGAGGACAGCACTGCCTGCCTGAGAAGGCTGGATCCAGCCAGGGCTCCTGGCAAGAGGGATCTGCCGGCCTGAGCGGGGAAGGGGCGCGATTACCTGGACGCGAGGGTTCTAGAGGGTGAGCATGCAGACTACGGGCAGTACCTCCACCAAACGGGGCCCAGATGACCCGGCGGATGGCCTGCACCCAGTCCTCCATGTCACGCTGAGAACTGGCCATGAGCAGGAGCCCCTCGGGGCTGGCCGGCACCTTCTCCCGCTCCCCGGCACCACCTGCAAGACAGGGAGACACAGGCTTACCCCGAGACCTGTGCAGACACGGGGCCTTCCCCTCGCCCCCTCAGCCTCACCCCAGTCACTGTTTTATTCCTGGCTGTGAAGGGCATCTCTCCGCCAACAGCAGCAGCCCTGCCTTTCAGGCCTCACACCTGCCAGGGGCACTTTCGGGGGATTTCTCCTTTAGTCTTGTGATCTTCCTGTATGGAATCGGGATCACTAACCATCCTGGGCACCATTTTACAAAGCACACGGATAGAGGCCCGCTTGGGGAAGGTCAGAGCCCAGGGTAATTTCCAAAATTCTGCCCCATCCCGCTCTCAACCACACATGGACGCCAGACTAAAGGCAGATGGGGGCTTTGTTGTTTTGTGGTGGTTTCTTTCTCTGTGCAGGAGATTTTATTTTGATGTCATCCCATTTGTTTCTTTTCTCCTGAGAGATATCTGAGATTTTGCTGCCTATGGTTTCTTCTAGAATTTCTATGGTTTCACAGCTTACTTTTAAATCTTTTATCCATTTTGAGTTTATTCTAGTGTATGGTGTAAGTTGGTGGTCTAGTTTCATTTTTTTTTTTTTGCATGTACCTGTCCAATTTTCCCCACACCATTTATTAAGAGACTTGTCTTTATTTCATTATATGATCTTGCCTCCTTTGTCAAATATTAATTGCGTATCATCAGAAAGATGCAAATTAAAATGATAATAAGGTACCACCTCACACCTGTGAGAATGGCTTTCATCAACAAATCAGCAAGTGACAAGTGCTAGAGAGGATGCGGAGAAAAAGGAACCCTCGTGCACTGCTGGTGGGAATGCAGACTGGTGCAGCCACTGTGGAGAACAGTATGGCGTTTCCTCAAAAAACTAAAAATGGAACTCCCATTTGATCCAGTGATCCCACTATAGGAATATATCCTAAGAAATCAGAAACACCGATCAGAAAGAATGCTTGTACCCCTGTGTTCATAGCAGCACAGTTTACAATAGCTAAGATCTGTAAACAGCCTAAGTGCCCATCAACAGATGAGTGGATAAAAACCAGTGGTACATTCACACCATGTAATACTGTGCAGCAGTAAAGAAGGATCTCTTACCCTTTGAGTCAGCATGGAAGGACCTGGTGAGTATCATGCTAAGTGAAATAAGTCAGAGAAAGACAAGATCTCACTCACATGTTGAATCTAATGAACAAAATAAACTGATGAACAAAATAGATCCAGAGGCATAGGGGCATGAACAGACTGTTGAATCTCAGAGGGAAGGCAGGGGAGGGTGGGTTGGAGGGAAGTGATCAACCAAGGAATTTGTATTCATTTACGGCCACAGATAACAGCGAAGTGAAGGCATGGTGGAAAGGGGAGAGTGAGAGGGGTGTCAGTGGGCTAGAAGGGGTTATGGGGGGAAAGGAAAATATCTGTCATACTTTCAACAATAAATATTTCTAAAGTAAAATAAAATAAAATAAAATAAAATAAAATAAAATAAAGGCAGAAGGAGGAAAAGCTGAGGTTTTCCCTGCAGTAAATCCAGAGAGTCTCTCATGTGTTCATGAATTACTCTTTCATATGTAAATGAACTAGTATTTGGGATGTATATAAATCATTTATATTGAACTTCATAGGCAATTTAAGGGATTTTCAAGAATAATCTTGTCTTTATGCAGCCCTCTCCACTCCCCCACAACATCACATAATATGTGACTTGCCTATATACTTGCCCTGGTCCCAGAGCCTCAGACCCTAACCAGGACCATGGGCTGTGGTGTGAGGCAGCCGACCTGTGTTCCCAAGGGGATGGGATGGGTTTGGAGAATTGGGACCCTGGGTCCTCACTGGAGGCCACAGCCCCAGGGTGCAGACCAGGCAGAACCAAGCACTACCTGGGACTCTTCCAGGAGCTGCAGACACTCAAATGAGCAAAGCGACAGACACTTCTACCCTCCTAGACCCTTTAAGCTGCACAGCCCCTGAGGGAAGACGTTACACCTGCATTTTACAGGTGAGGACACGAAGCACATGGAATTAAGGAATCTGCCTGCACTCACACCGCCAATGCATAGCAGCCAGGGATTCCAAGTCCTCAGCTCTGGACCCAGCTCATGGACCTGCTGGTGTTCTTGTGTCTGGTCACAGCAATGCCACCAGACAGGGGAAGCTGGAGCACTGGGAGCAAGGCCTGAGGCCAGGTGGGAAGCAGGAGAGGCCATGGGGCCCAAAGCTGAGGAGGCTGGTGAGCAAGGAGACAAGACAGCCAGGGCCCCGGTGCCTCTGGAGCCCTCACTACACACACGGCCTGCTCCCCCGGTTCTCACAGCTACTGAACAGCAGCGAGCAGGGGTGGCGAGGAGACAGCTCAGGCAGAGACACGGAGCTTGAAGGCTGGAAGCAGTGAACCTGCTGACAGCATAGGGGCCACCGGCTGCAGTGGCACCCATGGGGGTGTGGGCTCGACACCGGTCGGACCCCATGCCCGTGGCCCTGAGGACTGAGATGGCTGAGGGTTCTAGGTGGGAGGGGCAGCTGGTTGCCACCAGGGCTTCTCTGGAAGAGTCTCAACATGACTCAGAAGAAAGGGGCCTGGAGGTCCGAGGCTCCAAGAACCTGTTGTGGGTACTTGTTGGTCCTAAATGAATACTCAAGTTTATGCTAAATTGGGATGTCTCATTTTTCGATTCTTTTCCCCAAAGAGGCACCCATTTCATATAGGCTTTATTTGAACATCACCTATAGAACTTGGTCCTGCCCTGCCCAGATGTTGACAGCTGTTCTTGTGCCCAGCTGTGCCCATGATCTTGCTCTCATGGTGCTCTAAGCCTGTGTATTTAACTTGTTAATGTATTTCCATGTATGTATGCTTATTTATGTATATGTGTTATATATACATGTTTGGCTTTTTAAGAAATTGCCACAAACTATTTTCCAAAGTGAGTGCACTTTTCCCAGCACCTCCCCCCAGAAGTGCAGAGCTCCCGGTCCTCCACTTGCTCCAGCACCTGGTCTGAGCGCCTTCGGACTGCAGACATTCTAACGGTGCACAGCTATACCCCACATGTCTGAGTCTGCCTTCCCAAACGACAAAGACGTTGGACATCTTGTTATGTGCTTAGGTGCCATCCATGTATCTTCTTTGTGAAATATCTTTTGTCCATGTTTTAAATATGTTGTTCATTTTCATTATTATTGAGATTTGAGTACTTCACATATTCTGTGTATACGTTCTTTATCAGATATGTGCTTTGCAGATACTTCTCCCAATCTGTGCCTTTTCTTTTCATTCTATTCACAGCGGATTTTTAAGAAGAGAAGTTTTTAATTTTGGTCAAGCCCAATTTTATTAACCTTTTTCTTTTATTGAGTGTGCTCCTAGTTTTGTACTTAAGAAATATTTCCATAAGCCAAGTCATAAAGGTTTTTTTGTAAAAGTTTCATAGTTTTAGGGCTTACATCTAGGTCTGTGAGTTAGTTTTAGCATATGGTACGAAGTATGAGCTCATTCTCTTGGACCTGGTTGTCCAGCTGTTTGGCACCATCTGTTGAATAGACCATCCTTTCTCTATTGATTTGGAGAGCACCTATAGAGGTGATTGTGCCATCTGCAAATAAATACAGCTTTAGTTCTTACCTTCCCATAGTGCCTTTATTTCCTTGCCATTCATTGCACTTACTATAACCTCAATTACACGATGTTAAATGGAAGTGATGAGAGTAGACTAGTCCTTGTCTTGTTCATCTTATGGCAAAAAGCATCCAATTAAGCATATCTGCTGTAGGTTTTTTGTCAATGTCCTTTCTCAGGCTGAGGAAGTTCTCTTCTATTTCCAGCTTGCTGAGAGTTTGTTTTGTTTTTTAAATCAGAAATGGATGTTTGGATTTTGTCAAATGTTTTTGATGTATCTATTGAGACATCACGATTTTATTTTAGTTTTTTTAATATGATAAATTACATTGATGAATTTTCAAATCTTAAACCAACCTTGCATTCCTGGAATCACAATTGGACATGATATATTATCTTTTTATATATTGTTGAATTCAATTTGCTAAAATTCTGTTGAGAATTTTTTATTTATATTCTCTATGGATATTGACCTGACATTTTTTCTTTTCTTATAAAGTCTCTGTCCGTTTTGGTATCAGGATAATGCATGCCTCACAGAACAAGCTGGCGAGTATCCTTCCTTTTCAATATTTTTGGAAGAGTCTGTGTTACTTATTTGCTACTATTACTTATTTGTTAATGTTGGTAGAATTCCCCAGTGAGGCCACCTAGGCCTGGATTCTTCTTTTGGGGAAGGTGTGTTAATAACAAGTTTAATTTAACATCTGCATCTATTTCTTCTTCTTTTTTTAAAATAAGTTTTTATTGTTCATATTATTACAAATGTTCCTTCCCCCCCACCATTGCTCTCCTCCACCAGGTTCCCACCGAACCCTCTGCTCTTTCCCCACTCCCCATTGTCCTCATCCATAGGTGCACAGTTTATGTTCAGTCTCTTCCCACGTCCCCCTCTCCCCTTTTTCCCAAGAATCGTCAGTTCACTCCCCTTCCATACCTCTGATTCTATTATATTCAATAGTTAATATTGTTCATCAGATTTTTTTTTAATTTCCTTGGTTTTTAGATTCACTTGTTGATAGTTACGTATTTGTTGTTCATAATTTTTATCTTTGTTTACTTTCTCTTCTGAAAGAACCCCCTTCAGCAATTCATATAATTCTGGTTTGGTGTTGATGAACTCCTTTAGCTTTTTTTTTTTTTTTTTTTTTATTAGTGAAGCTCTTTATCTGGCCTTTGATTCTGAGTGATAGCTTTGCTGGGTAGATTATTTTTGGCTGTAGGTTCTTACTATTCATAACCTTGAATATTTCTTGCCATTCCCGTCTGGCCTGCATGGTTTCTGTTGAGAAGTCAGCTGACAATCGTATAGGTGCTCCTTTATAGGTAACTACCTTCTTTGCTCTTGCTACTTTTAATATTCTCTCTTTGTCTTTTGC